AAAAAAAAAAAAAAAAAAAAAAAAAAAAAAAAAAAAAAAAAAAAAAAAAAAAAAAAAAAAAACTAATCAAGGGCAAATATGTAAAATGAAAGCTCCACCCCATTATCCATCCCTAAAAAAAACCAACCACCAAATATGACAAATGTACGGGAAAACATCTTTATTGGGCATCAAACCATGTTTTTTTTTTTTTCTGCTTTTTCTCGCATATTATATTGATTTCCCTTAAGTTATTATTTATAACGAACCATTAGAGGGTTTTTTTTTTTCTTTTTTGGAAATAATATATCATTTCAACTCCAAAAAATTGCTAATCCAAGGGTACAAAATTAGTAAACAAATATTCTTTCTTTTCTTTGTCTGCAATGCGATTATTGGGAATATAAATCTAGTCCACCATATATTTATATATAAATCCAAATTAAAAAATGGCTGTGCTTTTCTGTCTATTTATTTATTTATCATTTTGAACATGAGATGTTTCCCTAGTAATCATTATGACTATCCACGTCCTCCTAATTTTTGTTTATTGTTACTTAATTCTCTCAATCATTGGCTGTATCAATATTATTAACCATTTTGATATCCCTAAGTATAATTATTGAATGTTGATCATGTAATATTAATTATTGACCATAATTATGTTTGTATAATTAGAAAAAATTTAAACTGACATATATCTTTGATTTAAATATTAGAGATTTAATTTTTTTGTCGCATATGTTGTTAAATTAAAATAAAATTAAATAAATTTGGAGACGTCAATGAAAATAAAATTAGATTGTGATAACTATAAGTCTAGATTAAGCTCATTTTAAGGTTCAAAAACTTATCAACACCAACTTAAAATTTGATGGACCTCAGGTATAACCTTTTTTAAGTTTTTTTTTTCAAGAAAAAAAAAAGTTTTGACTTGAAAATTTACTATTTCATAGAGTGGTAAGCATCTGAAACTAATATCCTTCATTGTCTCATAACAAACTGATAGAGGAGAAACCCAAGAATAGAATTAGTCCGTTAATTTGACGACCTGCGTTTCTCATGGACTCAGGTAAAATTTCAACATTTAGGGTTTGTCTCTATTTATTCAGCTTCCCAAATTTGCAATCCTTTGCCGGAAAATGATTTGTGGGATTTTTGTGTGCTTAATCAGTTCATAATCATCCTCGGTCAGGCCATTGGGCGGATCCTTCCACCCATTCTTTCTCTTCTTTTAACCGCTCACAAATATTTGTATACTTATGTTCTTCATTGCCGTTTGAATATAGTAGAAAAGTTGCTGAATTGTCAATACAATGTTCAATTTTTGTGCTTGTGTGAATTTCAAGCAAGAAACCAGGTAACTTTGCTTCTTTTTTCTTTAACTTTGTGTGTTGAAAAGAAAAGAAGTTTATGGGTTTGTTTGGATTGATTTCAGCGACGAGGAACGGCGGAGGGATGCGTCGATCAGGAAAAAAAAATTCAAGAAGAGTTTAAAGGAGGCATATAATGTTCCTTTGACTTTGGTTTCTCCACGTGAATCTCTAAATTACAGAGAGGATCGAATTATCAATCTAGATGTGTAAGTCTCTAATGTTCATTTCTTCATTTGAGTTTAACACTAAAATGAGAATCGAATTTTAAAATATGTGACTCTGTTTGGTTCGTTTTTTGGCCTCAAGACTTGAAAAATAATTGTTTTTTTGTTTGTTTGTCTGTTTATCTTCTAATGAATAGGTAACTATATAGTTTATATTAGAATTTGTTAAGATTAGTGATGATTAAGTTTAAAACAAAAATTGCAGAGGAGACCCAATAATGTACGAAAAGTTTTGGAAGAAAATGGGGAAGAAAGCGACGATAGTGATACCAGGGTGGCGATACATGAGTTACCTCTCCGGCGGCCAGAGTCTTTGCTGGTTTCTTGAGCCTGATTTATGCCAGCAAATTCTCCGATTACATCGTGTCGTCGGCAATGCCATAACCGAAGGCCGTTACATCGTCGTCGGGACCGGCTCCTCCCAGCTTATACTGGCTGCACTTTATGCCCTCTCTTCGCCCAATTCTTCTCAACCCACCAATGTCGTCTCCGCCATCCCATACTATTCTGTGAGTTCTTTTAACAACTTAACCAACGTGTTTGGAATGAATGTATTTCAAATGGGAAATTTTTTCACATTATTTGAATGTTATAAACTCATTTCGTTATGGTTTGAATACAGTCATATCCATCCATGAGTGACGACTTAAAAACAAGTGTTTTCAAATGGGGTGGAGATGCCACTACTTATGAGAAAGATGAACCTTATATAGAAATCGTCACTTCTCCCAACAACCCTGATGGTTCCCTACGTGAACCAGTGGTGAACCGGACAGGAGGCAAAGTGTTGCATGACCTTGCTTACTATTGGCCTCATTATACTCCAATCACTGCTCCAGCTGACCATGATCTCTCTCTGTTTACTTCCTCCAAGTGCACCGGCCATGCCGGCTCTCGAATCGGGTTAGTTCTTATAGTCAAAAGTATGAATTAAAGGTTAGGAATCACAGACTTCCCGACCCCAATAGTATGATATTGTCCACTTTAAGCATAAATTCTCGGGGCTTTACTTTAGAGACTATTCCTTGCTTATAAACTCATATGATCATTCCCTTAATTAGCCGATATGGGACTCTCTCCCAACAATCCTCAACAATGCTCCCCCGAACAAAGTACACTATAGAGCCTCCTACAAGGCCTATAGAGCCCTCAAACAGCCTCGTCTTAATTGAGACTCGACTCCTTTCTCTAGAGCCCTCGAAAAAAGCACACCTTTTGTTCTGACACTTGAGTCACTTTTTGAATACACCTTCGAGGATCATAACTTCTTGGTTCGACATTTGAGGATTCTATTGATATAGCTAAGTTAAGGGCATGACTCTGATACCATGTTAAGAATAACGACCCTCCGTAATGGTATGATATTGTTCAATTTGTGAGCATAAACTCTCCTGATTTTGTTTTTAGTTTCCTCGAAGGACTTCATACCAATGGAGATATAGTGTTCCTTACTTATAAATTCATGATCTTCCTCTTAATTAGCCAATGTGAGACTACTTTCAATAATCCTCGTGATGTTTGCTGTGCTTAGGTGGGCTCTTGTAAAAGATCCAGAAGTAGCGATGAAAATGGTGAAGTTCATCGAGATGAACACGATCGGAGTGTCTAAAGATTCTCAACTTCGCACGGCAAGGATATTGAGCGTAGTATCATCTAGTTGTGAACAAGCTGGGAGTTCAGAATATCCTGAATCCTTTTATGGATTCGGCCATCGCCTCATGACAGAGAGGTGGAGCCGTCTCAAACAGGCCGTTAAACACAGCGGAATGTTCACTCTCCCAGACTTCCCCACCGCTCACTGCACCTTCCACGGCCAACAAACCCAACCTCGACCAGGTAATCCCATTACCACTACACTGTCCAAAGATTTAGTTTCTAATCATAGAAGTTGTGATTTGATTAGTTAGTTTGTAAGGCTATTTATCTAGCTCTTTCGGTTCATCATAGTAGATAACTTTGATTGTATATTGAATTTAGTTTTCGCCTTTTTAACATACAGTCTGAGCTTACTGTTAGCAGTTTTGTTCATAGAAATCTGATTTAGATTTGTTTTTGTTGGTCTGAGCTTACCGTCAGCAGTTCTGTTCATAGAAATCTGATTTAGATTTGTTTTTGTTGGTCTGGTATTTAGCTTTTGCATGGCTAAAATGTGAAGACGAAGAAGAAGACTCCGCAGCTTTACTCCAACGCCATAGAATAATCGGTCGAAGTGGAGTAAGTTTCGGTAGCGAGGCGAACTTCGTACGTGTCAGCATGATGGATCGAGACGACAACTTCGACTCCTTCGTCCAACGAATATCGAAAATTACAAGGCTTTCTGAAGACTGAAAAAACTACATGTCGATCCAACTTCATACCAATGTGACAATAATCCAACCACCAGTCGCAGCTGCAGTGAGCAAACCAAATATTACATAGGAGTTGAAGCCCTATAGATATTATAATTTCATTCTTTCAATTTAATTTTGATATTAATATATGTATTCATTTAGATTTATATTTGTATTTGGTTAACTAGGTTAAAAGAATATCTAACCTATTTGTTACTCATTCATACCATTGAAATTCAATTAATATATACACTTACTTTAAACACTCTAATTTCTTCAAAGCAACAACATTAAGGACACGATCTAAAAGAGACGAGTCAACCGATGCTTACTATAGACGAATTGATTATGAGATCCCACGTTTGGTTGGAGTGGAGAACGAAATATTTTTTTACAAGAGACAAGTCAACTGATGCTCACCATAGACAGTTAGATTATGAGATCCCACATCTGTTTGAGCTAAAAAGGGAAAGCCCAAATCTCCCTACTCTTATATGCAGTAAGTCAGCCCAAATCTCCCTACTCTTATACTCTCTGCTCCCGTTTTCTAAAACTTTCTTCTTGAACCAAGATCAGAGGCTCGAGCATAGGTCGATTGGCCGTAGGCAATGCAAAAACGAATAGGCTTAACTCACTTGTTGCTGAGAAGTGAATGCTGCACAATCGCAAGTTCGCTGCCATCAAAGTGCGATTGGAAAGTCCAAAAAAGACAATATAAGCTAACGGTGGGTTTGAGCCATTACATTGATCAAGTTGAAGTATAAAGCTTTTAGCCTCAAACTTGCCTTCCAACTAGGACACAACCTCAAACTTGCCTTCCAACTAGGACACGACCTAAAAGAGATGCAATCGATGTTCACAATAGACAGATTGATGAACCCAACCGTTCATCTAAAAGCCGAAGTAAGCAACTCTATAACTTACCACCTATTACCTTCTCGTTGCTACTTGATGTGATAGCTCGATCTTTGAAATTGAACCGTAAATCTGTGTCACCCGTCACGTAATTTCGGAATGGGAGTACTAAAAATAAAAATTAAAGAAATTATCGTAAAATAAGCTTACCAATTATGAAATCACAAGGGGAACAAACTTTCATGAACCTTTTTTCCTTTTTTTTGTTTTTTTTTTTTTTAATTCGTGGCGAAGATGAAAAAACAACGCACACTTACACACTCTGCTCGAAATACTAAGAATTCCAAAATTATTAAATTAATTAAATATAAAGTGCAAAAACTTGATCCTAGTTGGGCCATCCATAGTTCAATGGGCTCACATTATCATTCCTTCCCTCCTTGGGCCTTCTCACCTTCTTGGGCCTTTCCACTTTCTTGGGCCTTAGACTCTTCTTGGGCCTTCCCACTTTCTTGGGCCTTAGACTCTTCTTGGGCCGCTCCATTTTTATCGGTACCTTTCGCTTGGGCCTGACCGCCTTGTGCAGTCCTTCCTCCTTCCTGGGCCGGGCCCACTTCTTCAGTCTTGGTTTGAACTTCCTCATGCGACGCCGTTTCACGGACCCATTGCTTACCCTGCTGGAGCTGAAGGGTATCTCCTGACCGTCGCAAAATGTTGGCCATCCAGGACAGAGAAGATAACGCCGTGACCCCAAAAGCTCCGGAGGTGAGAAATCCGGCGACCGCCAAGGCGATGACGACGGCGGCAGGGACCAAAATGGGGCTGAAAATGACAAAAAGTGGAGACACAACGGCCAAGCCAACGACGGTTCCGATGAAGGAGATTCCGGCGAGGAAAAGGAGGAAGGCGGCGAGTGGTAACAGAGTAAGAAGAAGTGGGAAAAGTTGAGTAGTGGAAGGAGGGTCATCGGACGGGGAAGCTGTGGGTCGCCGGAGCTGAGAATCCGCCATGGAATCGGAAATTGGGGAAGAGGAAGAGGAAGAGGAGATTGCTTTAAGGGGAAGAACAAGAACAGATGTAAGAAATTGAGGGATTCGAGGTTTGCATGAGAAAACATGTCAATCGAAATTGGATTCTTAGTTGTCATTGTTCATGTTTTTGTCCCTTCTTTGCCCATTGGATTTGGTTTTTTTTTTTTTTTTTTTTTTTTTTTTTTTTTTTTTTTTTTTTTTTTT